AAATTAGCTCCATCTCAATCAGCTGCATCTTTAAAATGCTCCATTCACATTAACACATAAAATAAATACACCACTTTAAAGACCAGTCTGTTGCCTTTACTTTTGTCACACTCGCTGCATTTCGGTGATACATGTTTTGTATTTTTCCGTGTGTCACGTTGTGTAAGTGTGACTTATAATAATAAAGGCATAAAGGATTTAGACTGAGTCAAAGGGTGGCCACAGACTGAGGTCAGGCCTCGCACACAACCAGTAGCAAAGCCTGTGAAGACTATTTTGTGTGGAATCATTTCTTTACATATGTTGTTCCCATGGAGATGCATTTTAACAACACAACCACCCCTTATTAAAACAACATACAACAAGTAGTTCAACCAAAAAATGTGCACACTGATGTTATGTTATTTAAAGATTTCATTTTGGTGTCACTGAACTGTGTAACGAGTGTAAAAATGCTTTTAATGCGTCAGTAAAGAATGGTTTCTATGTAGCTTTAGGTTGAGCTGCGGATTTAGTCGAAGCTCTTAAAGGCTGTCGGGGTGAAACCTTGAAGAACTCCGGAAACAAACAGCGGAACAATGTGAGCCTGACTCAGAACCTGCAGCCAGAAGAAACAAACAAAAGGCTGAATGGACACAGTGATGATTCAACTAAGTGGATGTCCTGAGCAGAACAAGGTCAACCCTGACGTCAGCGCTGCACTAATCTTGTGTCATTTAAAGTGTAATTATCAGCAGTAGCTTTATCTGTAGTTGAAAAAGAAGAACTTCAGCAGATATTCTGAGCTTTAATCAGCTGACTGTTACATGAAAAACAGGAACTAAACTGCTCACCCCCTTCAGATGCCTCCTTTAAGAACATCTATTAAAATATATATGTTCTGAATATCAGTATATGTACACAAGAAGAACGCTTAAGTTAACAAACTTAGATCATAACACAACAGATTTGCCATTATAACACTAAAATGTAAAATCTTTAAATGGCACAAGTCTTTTTGATCAACATAAACTAGTTACTTGAGCATATAATAGGGTTTATTTCCCAAACTTTGATGTTGCTCTAACGTTAACTAGAACACAGGCATCAGATGACACAAGTCTAAAAGCCTTTCAGACAAATAACAATGCATTTCTGATTGCTGAGTGTCTGTTATTGTATTCGATAATTGAGTCAAGAGTACTTGCATCAGAAGGCTCGTCATCTCTCACAAGTCCTCGTCTTCTGCCGTACCACAGGAGCACATCTGCAGCAGTGACATTACTGTGATGCAGAGTGTGATCTCTCTAATCATCAACGTAACCAAGTGCCAAAGTACAGCAACAGGTAGCAGTAAAAAAAACACATTTTATTGTACCATAGTTCTCTGTAGTTAGATAAATAATCATCCTACACTGACAGAATTTTCAATATTAAAATCATGGATGAACTTTGGATGTCTTGCCGACACTAAAAGATAACAACCAACGTGTGTTTTCTAGTTGCTTAATGAGTTTTACTAATTTCAGGTTAAAATGACGAGTTGAATTACAAACATAGCATATAAGCAGACTTCCCAGGATACAACAGTAAGTTTGGGTGGTTCTTCTCATATGACATGATATAATTCTAACCAGGATAAAGATCCATACTGAATATAATCCCTACACCTGAGGACTTTTAATGAAATGAAAAATACTTTATTCATCCCAGAAGGGAAATTCAATCCTGTAAAAGCTTACCTTTCTTTTTTTTTTTTTTCTTTTTTAAATATAAATAATCTATCTTGCCGTTACTGGAAGCAGCGTCACAAGTTGTGTTTGTGCTGATTCAAAACTGACTTCAGCAGCTGTGATCCAAAGTTCTCAATATTATCACAAACAGACAGAATTTTTAGGATTGCAATCATACATTTAAAAAAAAAATCAAGGAATTTATTTTAAACCGACTTGTCTTTTCTAGTTTAGTTAATGAATGCTGCTACTGTCTCGTCAAGTTAGCTTAAAATGTTAAAATCTTATTCCAGACCACTTTAAAAACAAGAGTTCCTATAATTTAAGGCATTTTGACTTAAAATGCAGCCGCACTAATTGTCTTTATACCGACTCTGGTCAAAAATAGCATCATCACCACATACAGACAGAATTTAAATACTGAAATCATAAAATAAACTTTTGATGTCTTACCTATGAGTGAACTTTTCTCTCTAAAATATGCTGCAGCATCTCTTCCTCTGGACTATCTGAT